TTCCCGTTCTTTCCAGACTCATTTCCTTGACCATCCTGATGGACGCCTGGATTGGCGAGTAGTTGAGTGATCGATAGCTATTTTCAAACCAACTGAAAGGTCTTCCATCAGCGTGACCAAAATGCAATCTCGAGGATACCCCAGACAAGCATCAAGGATGTACTGGTGACGGATATATGCATGCCGAAGAAAACAATAAAGTAGCGTAGGCGTAGCTGTCTGAAAAAGCTTAATTTCACTTATTTGGACTTCATATTGACACGGTGAATACGGTTGTTGTGGTAGCCCGCACTCAGTACTGCTGCGTTGACTCATCCTCTCTTCACTAGCCAATTATTTGAGTACCTGCACGTCTTTGTCGAGCGCTGCATTACTCCCGTGATGTCTTGTCAGTCCTACGTCCCCCTTCTGGCGACTCACTTTCTAAGGCGCACGTTATTTCGAGCCAATCGATGCGCGACGTTGCACCTGATCGGCTGTCCAGGCGACTAAGAACGTTCTGCAATCCTGGCTTCGCAGCTCCTTTTTTCACGTAGTAAACGCCGCTCTTATCAATTCTGTCTTCCCCCGGTTTTTGATTTGGGAAACCTCCTTTTGTTGACACAACCACATACGACATTGTCATGCGCCAGATTCTGTCCAACACGCAGTAAAATGGATCTTATTCCAAAGTAAATAGAATTAGACATTTGCCAAACATGAGTTTGCCTATGTGTGCAACAAAATTTGGCGGAATTTTAAGAATATTGACAGAAAGGTCAACTGTATCATGAGACCAAGCCGGGCCTTTGGCTTATTATAGGCCGCAGACTGAATTCACCTAAAATATAAAGTTGACATTAAACTAAACAGTTGCAGAATTGTGCTACTCCACGAGGCAGAGACATTAAGTTTTTTACGTTAAACAAGCCTGGCATTTCACTGTAGCGGGAAACCCATTTAGAATAATCGACACGGAAGTACTTCAAATAAATCCCTAGGACTCATATCATTGAAAAGCAAACGCACAAAAGATGGAATTATCACATCATGAGGATGGCTGATCGGTGTCTACTAATCTGAGGCGACATAGCAATGCGTGCCTGTCAATATGAAAAAAAAAGAAAACAGATGGGATTTTAAAAAGACCAAAGGTCAGGTGGAGCGGTATTAAAGAATTTTTCAGTCGAAGCGAACAGACGAGTTCCAGGAAGTAGTTCAGAAAAGTAAGGTGGCCAAAGTTTCGGATTCTCATCTGTCGAGATCTGACTATAATTTCAAATATGAAGAGGCCAAAGTTAGTACAAGAGATTCCCATAGCGTGATCTGAAAGATGTTTGAATTATGGTTCTCCTCTCGTGGGAAATTAAGTTAACCAGTCGCGCACGCCGCTCTTATCAATTCTGTCTTCCCCCGGCTTTTGATTTGAGAAACCTCCTCTTATCGACACAACCACATACGACATTGTCATGCGCCAGATCCTGTCCAACCCCTAGTAAAATTGACCTTATTCCAAAGTAAATGGAATTAGACATATGCCAAACACGGGTTTGCTTATGTGTACAACAACATTTTAAGAACATTGACAGAAGTGTCAACTGAATCACAAGACCAAGCCAGGCCTTTGGCTTGTTATGGGCCGCAGACTGAATTCATCGAAAACATCAAGTCGACATTAAACTTAACTGTTGCAGAATAAGGCTACTCCACGAGGCAGACACATGAAACTTTTACATTAAACAAGCCAGGCATTCCAGTGAAGCAGAAAACCTATTTAGAATAATCGACACGGAAGTACTTAAACAAAATCCCTAAATCCTAGTCATCGTGAAAAAAACCCAAAAAAAGATGTAGTTACCGCATCGTGAGGATGGCTGGCCGGTGCCTACTAATCTGAGGCGACAAAGCTATGCGTGCTTGCTAATATAAAGAAAAAGCAAATAGGATCTTACAGCGACCAAATGTCGGGTGGAGCGCTGTTGAAATATTCCCCAATCGAAGCAAGCAGACGATTTCCAGGAAGTAGTTCAGAGGAGGAAGATACCCAATGTTTTGGATTCTCACGCATCGAGACCTGACCATAATTTCAAATATGAGGAGGTCCAAGATATTGCAAGAGATAACTATCGCGTGATCTAAAAGCTGCTTTACTTATGATTCCCCTATCGCAGGGGGTTAAATTAATCGGTAAAACCCTAACAACCGTGGGCAACAGTAGCTTATGTAGCCCCACTCATTAATCCCTACAACTTGCATGTTTTCCTAGGAAACTGGTGTTTATAGGGTCTTATGGGCGGAAAATTAGGGAAAGCAGTGGAATATGCTTTAATAAATGCTGAATGCATTTTTATTTTACTGTATTTAGAAGTGTTGCTAATTTATATCTGTAGATTTTCCTAATCTGTATTATCATCTAACTCATTGCGGAAAAAATCCGATTATCAAAACTGCAGCTTCCTTGAATTTCCCGAAAAATTGAGATGGCGGTTAGGAGGTCGTCTACATCAACTTACCCGTGGCCCAGCTTAGCGTTCTGGAGTT